GTCGTTTATCAGCAGCTGGACTCACATTTAGCTGACTCTGATCTGTTCGAGGTTTTTCAATCAGGGTTCAGGTCTGGCCATAGCACAGAGTCTGCTCTACTGAGGGTCCTAAATGACATCTATCTATCACTAGATCAGGGTACTTCTGTTGTTAGACCTGACAGCAGCCTTCGACACAGTTGACCACGCGATTCTACTCGATCGCTTGGAACGATGGGTTGGGATCAAAGGATCTGCTCTGGACTGGTTTAGATCGTATCTCCACAACAGGACATTCTGCGTTAAACTGGGTGATGTTTTTTCATCTTAGGAGGGGCTCCGCTGGGGGGTGCCGCAGGGATCGATCCTTGGTCCTCTTTTGTTTGCCATTTATCTGCTATCTCTGGGGTCAATCTTTCGTAAACATGGCCTATCATTCCATCTCTATGCTGACGATTGCCAGATTTACTCTCCATTGTGTCAGGAGAAAGGTCACTCTATCCAGTCCTTTGTGTCCTGTATTAACGAGGTGAAGTCTTGGCTAATGGCCAACTATCTACGTCTGAATGAGGGAAAGACAGAGCTCATTGTTTTTCACCCCAACAGCAGGAATGTGGATCGTTATGTTGATCTTGGCCCTCTTTCTCCCTACTCAAAACCAGTTGTTACCAGTTTGGGGGTGAAACTTGATACTGGACTTAAATTTGATGCTCACATCAATTCTGTGATCCGGTCCAGTTTCTTTCACCTGAGACGCCTTGCAAAAATCAAGCATATGCTGTCGAGAGCCCACCTGGAGCGGGTACTACATTTCTTTGTAATTTCTAGGCTTTACTACTGCAACTCTCTCTATGCAGGGTTGTGTCAATCATCACTGCGTCGCCTACAGGTTGTGCAGAACAGCGCAGCCAGGTTCCTGACTGGGACCAGGAAACGGGACCACATCAGTCCGGTTCTGGCCTCCCTGCACTGGCTTCCGGTTTGCTATCGCTCACAATTCAAAATCCTCGTCTTTGTTTATCATTTCTTCCAGGGTGGTGGTCCCCCCTATCTAGCCACACTCCTGAACAGACACTCCCCATCACGCGCTCTGCGCTCCTCTGACCAAGGCCTGCTCGCTGTCCCTCGTTCTAGGTGTTGTACTCGCGGGGACCGGGCTTTCTCAGTCCTAGCACCGTCACTATGGAACCAGTTGCCACCCTCAGTTAGGCTGTCCCCATCTCTGCCAGTCTTTAAGAGTCGCCTCAAAACACACCTCCTCCGCTTGGCGTTTCCAGAACATGTTTGATTTTGGCCCTCTTTTATGTTGAATTTATTTCACAGTTTTCATTGGTTCATTCAATGCATTGTTTTACACATTTGTCCTGTACCAGAATGTTTCACCTATTTTGTAATTTGTATTTTGTAATTTGAATTGCTTTTATTTTTGATTTATTCAATATATTTACCTTCAACTGAACCATGTTCAGCGCTTTGGGCTTCCTGACAGGGTTGCGGAAGGCGCTTTATAAATAAAGCTTTGATTGATTGATTGATTGATTGATTGATTGAGGTGGGTGGGACTTCTGAGAAGTCCTCTCCCATAGGACAGTGGTTTCTCTTGAGTGACAGTTCAGTGACCCGGAAGTGATGTAGCCTCCAAGACTTTTTTTTCCCACCTGGTCAACAACATGAATTTTGAGCCCCAAACACGTTATTTCTGCTGTCTGTGGTGTCTACTGAGGATCTAAAGTGAGTATTGATAATATATTTGATCTTTTCTTAGTTAATCTGTAAGTTAAGCCACTTTTTAAGTTGGTTTTAACCAGACGTTAGCTCACTAGCTAGCTGCTAAGCAAGCCATTGTGCTAGCCTCAGGACAATGGTCTATTGTTCCAGAGAGACGTATTAAAAACTCATCTTAACATATTCATTACTGGTTTCATGGAATTAATCATTGCAGTTTATGTTAATAAGTTTGCTAATTTTTCAGGAACCTATGGAACAGAGACTTTGCAGCTACTGGAGCTAACCTGTGTACTGCTAACTTGCTACAGAGGAAACAGCAGAAAGCTGAGCCAACAGGCTGTTTTGCAGGTAAATACTCTTTTAGTGGAACTGCAAGATTTTTATGATTTAACTCAGACAGAATCTACATGAGCTATTGTGGGAAGACATTTAAACTACATTTACATACAGATACATGTATTTTTTATTCCATGTTACTTGGATTGGCTAAACAAGTTCATAGTTCTGCCTGCTCCTTTTTGTGTGAAACAAATGGATTATATGATGTAACTCTGACTGAATAATTATCTAAGTGAGTATGTTTGATAATAAATTTCTTTCCAGTATACAGATCTGACATTTGTTTGTCAGAACAGGACAAATCAGATTCAATGTGCTTTCTGTCACCCTAAATCAGATCCATCTGATGTTTATATTACTTAAGTTTGTATGAACAGTACATTTGATACCACTTTTTACCACTGCATCAGTGTGCTCCAAAATCGTTGGCCTGCCTGTCAGAACTCTTACTCGGGTTTTCTATCAACAAGCCCTGAGACAGGCAGCCAAAATCCTCCACAACCCCTCTCACATTCTTCCCCCCGCTTTTCAATGGCTCCCCTCTGGACGCCTACGCTGCATTTCCTGTAAGACTGAGAGGAGAGCCACCTTTGTCCCCAAATCCATTCTACTCTTTAACTCCAGCAGATAAGACCATCCCCCGATAAACCTTCTCCTTGGGCTCTCCATATATTTAACTTTTATGCAGACGAGACTTTAGTCACTTTATTCACTTACTCAGTGTTTTTTTTTGCATATTTTACTGTTTTATCTATCTTCTTGCTGCTTTATTACTTCCTTATTGCCTATTTATTCAATGTTTGTATGTCCAACATCATGCTGCTCTGCTGTTTTTTTTTTAAATTGCCCCTCGGGGATAAATACAGTTTTTCTGATTCTGATACATCTCTGAAGTGAAACAGATGTTACATAAGCACTTGAGGAAGTGGGACACTAAATGTAAACAATGGATAAAACAAAATGATATATTTTGTGAGGTACTGGTTAGAGATAGTTGGGAAGCACTGATCTAGGTAATGCACCACAAGCATTTTTATTTTACAAGCTTGTTTGGCATCAAAATAATTATAACCCTCTTCTTTTTCTGTCACACCTAATACATACATAAACACACACCAATTTCTATGTCACAGCTGGTGCCTTCATTAAATCTAATAAAATCTATAGTAACTATAGTCTGGTGACTAGTGTCTAGTTTAGCTACATTTAGCTTAGCTGGAGTAATGTAGTCTAACTCTGCCTCAACTGGTGACTTTTCTACTTCATTGTCAGCCAGACAAAATGTTGCTACAGAGAAACGCCCAAGGTACTGACCCCACAATAAAAAATCATGTCCACATTTATTTCACACAATCTCAAACGTCACACTAAAATTAAACTTTTAGCTCTGATTTAATTTTTCCTTATTGATATCAGTTTTCCCTTTGTTGTAGGTAATCCTCGGGTGTCAGCAGGAGGAGGTGACCACCTGCATAATGGAGCACCCTGGTCCTGAGCCAGTTGCACCTTTGTGCAGCTCTTTGGGGAGACAGTGCTCAGCAGGTTAAACAACTGTAAAATTGATTTTGTTCGTACTTTTTGTTTAGAACTCATACATCACCAGTTTTTCTTTCTTACAAACGCATGCCTCCGTGTGGTCAGGAGGTGTTGGTGTGATCTGGGAGGGCACACTCATGTCGTCATCTCCTTGTGCCGTCTCCAGGATCATGATGGGAGTTCTCTGTGCCTATAAAGCAGGGGTATTTACTTCTGGGCCTGGAGGGCCGGTATCCAGCACGTTTTAGTTTTAACTGTTTCAACACACCTGATTTCAGTCAGCAGATAATTAACAGGCTTCTGCAGAGCTGCTGCACAGGTAATTCAACCACTGATTCAAGTGTGTTGGAGCAGGGAAACAACTAAAACGTGCTGATACCAGCCATCCAGGACTAGAATTGAATACCCCTGCTATAAAGCCTTCCTCCCTCCTCTGGACTTTAAACATTAGTATTTTATTATGGTTTACCTGATTTAGTAAATACATTTCAATTTATAAATTTCCTGTTTTGGTGCCTGTCCATAAAATCCTGCATGAGACGCTGAAAGCTGAATGGATGCCTTTCATTCACTTTGACATTCAATGTATTTTTAAAGATAACTTGAAATTAATATCAGCTGTTTAACAGAGTGGTGCAAAATAATTGCTAATGTCATGATTTTTGCAACAACCTGACCTTCATGCAGAGAAACTCAGGAGACAAATGAGCTAAAAACAGTTTATTAAAATGTTTGACGGATGACTGAAGAGGTAACAGCTGGAGATCAGGAACCAGAAGCTTCTGCGAGGAAGAGCAGAGGTTAGTAAGAGGCAACAGGTCAGATTTTTCTTAGACTGTGCAGGTAGCTTACAGAGACTGAGAAACGCCACAGAGATGGAGCCACAGGTTTTAGTGTTTAATGATCAGGAGGCCCTGAGGTAAAATTGAGTGTTAGTAATGACTAAAGAATGACTTACAAAAGGAAAAGTTTAGGTACTTACGGTCTGAAGTTGTAGTGCAGACAGGAGACAGCAGAATGGTGGAGAAACAACCAGAAGTCTGGGAGAATGACAGCATGAGTTGCAAGCGGGTGAGCAGAAGGTAGTGGGCAAGCCGACTGCCAGGATGGTTGTGTGACGGTGCATCGCTGACAGTTTTAGGCAGATTATTTAAATTTTAACTAAGATTAGCCAAATTATTGACTGAACGTGTCTACAGAGCAATTAGACACTCATTTATATAGTTAATTAACAAAAAAAAGTTGATTTGAGGGTGACTTGCTCTTTAAGTATGTTGTAGATAGCCTTCATTATTTCAAAGTAAGTTGATTTTATATATATATATATATATATATATATATATATATATATATATATATATATATATATGTTTGTGTTTGTGTGAGTGTGTGTGTGTGTGTGTGTGTCTGTGTATAATATATGTATATATTGTCATCAATCTCCAAAAAATACTTTAAAATTCTTTCTGTGTGACATTTGATTTGATCTCATCTGTCATCATTTCTAACAGCAGCTTGTTACATTTTAATAGTCAGAGGTTAAACCCACATCACCATGAAATAAACAAACGTTTAATCTAAAACTCTATACCGAGACAACATAAATCGAGAATAAAAAAGGGACATTAACAATACGGCAGCTGTGGTTCTCAAGATTGGATAAATGTTTTAATTCAATGTACCTCGGAAAAGGGAATACTGAATTACTTTTATAAATAAAAGATTCCCCGCTTAATGTTATTTGTTTTTTTTTTTTTGCTTTTAATAGTTTTAGATTTAATAGAGTTTGAGTTTTCTCAGCAGAAATCGGCTCAGGGGTTCCCAATTTCGTGGAACGTTCTTTTGGAAAAGTAGAAATTTCGAGTTTCTATGAAGGCAACATGAAGGCATTTCCTCGGAAGTCAAAAATAAAAATACAAACATTTTTATTATTTTAAAATAAATGTACAAAAGTTCAATACATTTTATAACGTTTCCGAGAGCAAATTAGACAAATCAAAAAGAAAAGAAAAGAAATAAACACATTTGCGTAATCACGTGTGGATCCGCGCATGCGCAGCTCGTTAAGGGCTGATTGAGCGATGCTATCGTCCGCTTGTAGCATAGCGAAGCTAAAAACCAGCGCAGTTTGCTGCAAAAACCACCGAATACCAGCGGACTTTCTTCTGTATGATGCAATTTGATAAAAGGGGCCCGATGTCTGTAGCGAACGCGAAACACACCGTCCTGAATCCGGTAGGATACGTTTATAAATATCTGCTTCTTTATGCCTCAACTGCCCCTGACGTAGTTCGAGCTAAACCTGCTCAGCTGTGTTACAGCAGGTGTTTATGGTTGTCTTGACTAGTGTGAGCTGAAGCTTTCAGAGCCTACAGAGGAGCGTTTACATGAGCTCAGTGATATTTACGCTGACGTTTAACATTTATCCCAGGTGATCCCGTACACTGGACCCATACCTGGAGGCCTGCATCCAGGAGAGATTATCATCATCCAGGGAACTGTTCCCCCAGATGCCGACAGGTGAGGTTTAGTGAAATCACCTCACATTTGTCTCATTTAGTCATTATTGGAAATGTTTTACTTATTAACACTGCCCACAGATGGAAGAGTTTAATCATAATGTTATTTAAGTTTCTTTTTGCGTTATTTGCTGCACATATTTTCAATATTTAAGCCCATTTATGCATCTTTTTATATTTATCTTGTGTCCTACTTATACCGATGGTTGCCTTGTGTCTTTTTAATGAGCCACTTGACTTTTTGGATGATGATTTCCACAGTTTGCACCTTTTTGTTCTGTTGTTTTGATTTTGGTTCCTTTATTTTTTTTTGCATAATTTTATTTATTGTTTAAACTATTGTTTTCCTGTTTCTCTTTATAGTTTATTATTCTGCTTCCGTACGTTGTTTGTTTTTGCCATTTAACCACTTCCACAATTCTTCAACTATTTACACAATTTTGGTATCAAAACGATCAGCTTATGCCGGCAATGACTTTTGGTATTAAAATATTTTTTACTTTTTGAGATATTCAGCTTTGTCAGTGATTTTTGGTTCCATAGAAACGAATGGGAAATTGCTCAATTTTGAGCTAAATCCTATCACTTTTTTGAACTCTTACTTTTATAGGTTAACTTTAACCTAAAGACTTCATTCAAGTTTCAACAAACTCAAAACACTTTCAGCTATTACTGGTTAAAAATCTTTTTGATATCTATTACAGTTTTTCTAAAATCACAGGTAGAAGTTGAGGTACGGCTTGAGATTTTCAGAAAAAAATCACAAAAATTAAAATGGGCAGGGATGGGAGCAATGACCCTCCTTTGCTCCATTTCTGGCATTGTCCTGAGAAAACTGTAAGTCCGATTGAAATGAGACGCACGCTGGCTTGCCGCTAACGGATATACCTTCGTTTTGAGCTATAAATCATGAATGTACTCCAAACATTGTGGCCGTACGGTTCATTTCTTTGAGAATATTCAAAATAAAAAAAATGTCTCTCACCACTCTAAACTGAAAACTCCACACTAACTTTTGAACTTCACATTTTCTGGAAACAACTCTTTCCAGCACCCGGACCGTTTGGAGTACCGAAACAAATTATATCTCAAAAAGCAGGAATTTTTGTCGGCTTTTCAGAATGGGTTTCATTTTGTCCTCAAGTGTTACATTTCTTTCTCTTATCGGTTACCATGGCAACAGGCTTAGCAACAACCTTTTGTAAACTTTTAGAAACAACTGTATCAACATACTTTAAAATACAAACAATTTAAATTGTAAAAAGGTCATGGGACATTGGACATCACCATATTGAGACAGATTCCTGTCATCTGTTACCATGGCAACACAGGTGCGTAAGGAAACAAGTCTCATCGAAATGAATGTAAAAAGCTTAATACTGAGCCAATAACATTCCGCTGTTTCTGATCTTTCTGACCTCTCTGTACGTTAAACTAGAAACGTAACTTACATTTTATTTACCGTCAGAAGACGGGAAATCGCCCAACCTCATCCCAGCTCTCTTGATTGGCTGAGAGAGTTCAGTCATCTTCTGGCTAAATGGAAGTACACACCTACACATATGATGCATCAAATTGATCGTCTTGCTCTAATGAATCCCGTCCATCCATCCGTCCGTCCATCCGTCCGTCCAATAACAGGGTGTCCGCGGGGTTTTAAAAAGTATTAAAAAGTGATAAATAAAAATAGTCAAATTTAAGGCCATTAAAAGTGTTAAATTTGGTCTCAGAGGTATTATTTTTTCCAAATTAGGTATTTTTTTCAGACTATCAGATGTCGTATTCTGAACATCGACATAGAAATATATTCCGAATGAAATGTTTTGAACGATTATAAAAACAAAACAAGCCGATTATTTGCTCCTCCCACTTGCGCTGCCTTGAGTTGCAAATGAAGCGCTCCTCCCAGTGTTGCCAAGTTAACTTGGCGACTTTGACGCTATTTCTAACAGCTTCTCAGACCCCCTTCTTGACTTTTTAAATCTTAAAAGTACCTAGCGAACACCTCAGAAACATCTCTGGTAACCCTTAGCTTCTTTCTGGATAACTGTCGTCGACATTTCCTGCAGGTTAGCTAAACACTCCGCCTGCACTCCGGACCGTTCTTCAGGACATTAGGAAAGGGAATGATGTAGTGATGTGTCGGTCGCTAAAGACAGCTCTCAGGGCCGGCTCCCTGTTGGATTAACCAGAGTGAGTGACACACACACCGCACCTGCGGACTCCTGAGCCAATAAAAACGGCTAAATGTGCGCGTGCGGCACGCTAAACACACGTGCAGCTTGCCCCGATTGCTGTGAGACCGGGTTGGGGTTGGGGGTGCAGCTGTGGTTGGGACAATTATTACATTAACTGATGGACTTGTAAATAAATAGTTTATAAATAAGGTAGAAATAAGTTCCTCACGCTGATAAATAATATCTAATCTCTCTGAGGACACGGTGCTAGTGCACTCTCCTACAGCACCTTGACACGACTCAATAAATGCTATGCAACATTTAGTGAACAGCAATTTGCATGTATTTGTTATAAATGCCACTGTATAATTCTTGCTGTCAGTATTTGCAAGATATTGGTATTTGGGTCTGCACTGGTTAGACTTAAATGAGTTAAACCAAGGTCTATAGCCCTTGGGTCATAGACTATGAGCTATAAGTATATTGGTCTTTTTATACTGGGAATCAGGAGTTCTTTTAGTGATCATCTTGTTTCTTGTTTATTTTTGCCCTGATTGTGCCCTGAGCAGTTTTATGACTGAATAAAAATAAAAAAATAAAAATCTACATAAATTGAAAAATCGTCTTAAATAATGGAGATCTCAATTTCAGTCACAATAATCGTGATTATTGTTTTTGCCATAATCGAGCAGCCCTACTTTAGCATATCCGGTCACATAATGATGACGTCATATTCAGTGGTCGTTGTGCATCATTTCAGGCCTCGTGGTCAACTGTCTGAACCGCTGAACAGAAGTGCCTGGCTTATCTTCTAAGTAAAATAAATATGTGCAATACGTTGTCAAGATCAGTGAGTCTCTAAGTCTATTCTTTTTGTATGTTATATATGTTAAAATATGTGTAAATAGGTCGCTGATTAACACTTGCAATTTGGTGTTGTGATGGTTTTAAAAAAATTCTGAAGGTAGTAAAAAAAAGTATTAAAAAGTAGTAAATTTTACTTAAGGATTGCTGTATATACCCTGAATAAACCGTCCGTCCGTCCGCAAATGTTTCTAAAAGTCACAGTTCAGCTAATTGTGAAAATTTTTACTATTAAACTATTCTTACTCAAATACCAGGTGTGTACACCTTTAAACTGTAGTTTTGAAACAACGTTCAAAGATTTCAGTTTTCTGTTTGCTGTTTTGTTGCATTTTTTCTCGCCATTCTTCACCTACAATATGAGCTTTATTACACTTTTTGGTGATTTTTGCTTCTAACTCTTTAAATACATTCAGCTAATTTTGATAGTTTAGCTTAGTTTCAGCTTCACTTCACATCGCTCAGCAGCTTAAGCAATCAAGTTTCTGAATTTGGCATATGCTGCTCATTTCACAGTTCAGCTAAATGTAAAAATTAAACTGTTAAACTAGTCCTACTCAAATAACAAGTGTATAGACATTTTTGCTGTCCAGATTTTTAAATAATGTTCAGATTTCAGTTTTCTGCTGTTTAGGATTTTTTTCTCCGTTCTTCAATTTTTGTGCTTTATTCACTTTTTGGTGCTTTTTGCTTCTAAATCTTTCAAAACATTCAGCTAATTTTGACAGTTTTGCTTACTTTCAGCTAGGGATGCACCGATGGATCGGCATTTGATCGTAATCGGCCGATAGCGCCCCTATCGTGTTTGATCGGGTTTGTTCGGAGTTTTCAAAATAGATCAAAGCAGACCGATCAGGTAGGGTTGTCACGGTAACCGGTGTAGCGGTAAACCCCGGTAAAAAAAAAAAGTTGACAATAATAACCGTCTTGTTTTTAAAAAAAACTATATTATCTCGGCTGCGGTGTAGGCGCGGTGACCCTTACCAGCCACCGTATCATCTGCTTAAGTTGCCGGCGGCACATGCGCACTTTGTGGGGTAGAAAAAAAAAACATGCACACTTTGTTGTTTACAACCAAAACTTTCTTTAAGCTAAAGCTGAAATAATGGTCAAAGGAGGAGACGGCAGCACTCAGGAGGACATTTATAATCCCTCAAAGAAGACAAAGTCGGAAGTACGGGCATATTTTAGATATTTGAAGAATGCCGAGGGAGTTTTTAGAAGACGGCTATCCTGTTTGCAGCACGTGCAGAAAAAGTGTCTGTGAAAGGCAGCAACGCTTCAAATCTCATGACACATCTGCGTAACCATCACCCACAACTCTACAGTCAACGCAAAGCAAGCTAACGTTAGCGTTTTAGCTAAAATGCGTGATCCGAGGATTTGGGCTGAGGGAGAATGCAACGAGTCGCTATATAAAGCAGCCGCAGCGCCGCTACCTGCATATAAACCGTGTCGCGGACACCCCCATGTTGAAATGACGCTATGCATTACGGGGCTCCCAGGGGCAGATAAGAGTTGGTCTCTCTCCGAGAATAATTATGAATTTAACATGATTACTGCCTGATGACATTTTCCCAAATCTGCAAAGCTCACTGGAAGGACACAAACCGAGGACGATATTTTCCTGATATAGGGTTTATTACTCAAGTAAGGGTAAAAAAGTATCTGATTAGAAGGCTACTTGAGTACTGAGTATCATCTGATCTAATATTTTTTAAATGATGACATCAAACAGACATAAAATAAGAAGTTATTGGCAAATATTGGTATTTTAAAGACTAAAGGGGAAAAAATGTAAACAAATAAACAACATAATTACAAAATAACACATTTTAGGCAAAATTTAGACACAAACTGAGGACAATATTTCCTGACAGACAGGGTTTATTTAATTGTGTGAAAATGTAGCACGTTTAAAAAAATACTGTGATAATACCGAAAACCGTGGTAATTTTGG